CAAGTATAATGTGCGGGACGATTGTCGATTATTGCGGGACGTAAAAAACTGGTAGAAAATGGTTAATCATAGACGATCAATCGTGGCAATAATTCTTAAGACAAATCTCTGAGTGGTTCTCCTAGAACGGTAACACAACGGGAAAGTTGCGATATCGTGTCTCTCGTACTTTGCTCCGAGTTGTATCGTTTATATTTTACTCTACTCTCTAATGTTATAATAACCAGCAATAACGATCGTCATTGACGACATTCTCTTTTGTAACGCGCGATCACCGACACCGAGGATGGAATCGAGTCTCTCCGCCAACCCAATTTCCCATTGGATTCACCGCATCCACCGTTCAGATAACAATAACGATTCAACCTCTATCGTTAAACTTCTACGTGTATTTTTACGCTTAGAAACGCTTCATGCTCTACTGACTGCTCCTGATTCTACGTTCACGAAATGCATCAACACCTATTACGAGAATCGACTATTTCGCTTTCTTTGAGTCAGCGCTGCGATTCTGCTGCTATTGCGCTTCGTAGAACTTCGAAGACGAAGCTCTAGATCTCCGTCGCGACTTATACGATGTTGGCCTTGGCTATGGAGTTGCCCATCATGACCTTGTTCACGAAATTCACTATGGCCGTGGCTGGCTGCTCTGGTTCCAGCTCGGCGAACACGTGGCACTGGTTGTCCGATTTGTGCGCCGGTTTTCTCGCCACGAATCCGAAACATCGGCTGGAAAATAGAGTGAAGATTTTTTTTAGAGAAACACCAATTACTAAATTACTGACATTGTTAGACTTTATATTACCTTCGTGCAAAACAACTGATTTGATTAAATTTTGATTTTTCAATTAATTCAGCTTCGAGCTCCTTTCCTTCTCCTTTATTTCTAATTAAATTTAGTTCGATTTACTTGACAAACTAAGTGAACCGAACGTACTCAACAAGTAGAGTCTAAAATTTCAATTCAATTCTAAAACATTGCCAAGTTTCGATAATCCAGTTTCCGACGAACGCGAGACGAGAGGCATATGATTTTAGAGAACGTACTGGGCACTGAGTGGCCGGCCGGTTTCCTCGCTGGCGAAGTCCCAAGTACGTTCCTCCGTGTCTAAGCCGCAGTAACTGATATTGTTCGTGGGGTAGTGCCTGCGGAAGAAAAGCTTCCGGCCGTTGTCCGTCAGAGTTATCCCCTGCGTCGAGACTTTGAAATGAACGATAGTCGCGGTGGGCAGTGGTTTCTGCTCGAACATCGTCGTGACTGCTTTCTTGATGGCTTGGGGACCCGTCAGTGACTCCGTATCCATGGTGAACAGGTATAGAACGTTGCAGGCTAAACACGCGAAAGATTACAAACCGCAACGTAACGTATATAAAGACAGAAAGTTTTCAACGGAGTGGTGAAACTTTTGAAATTAATTACCTGCACCCTGCGCAAGCAATTGCTGCGTGCTGTTCGTCCCGGGTGAATCGAGAGCTCTGGCTGCAGCTTCCGGTTCTGGGAGCAACAGCTGGCAAGGCAGAGCCATCGCCATCAAGCTGTGTTGATAAACCAACGCGGACAACGAGCTGAAGACTGGCTCGTTGGCGCATCCCTTTAATCTGACGCCTCTGGAGGTAGGCTCGATCAGAAAGTGCCTAACCAGCTCGCTAGACGGGTCTTTGGGACTGCTTGGCGCACTTGGAGGTGGAGTTGCTACCTTCAGGGCGAGACCAAAGGCTCCTGGAAAGGAGTTGCTGTCTCGAACGACGAACGTCCCTGGCGCTGCATCCTTCAGCATCGAGATTGCTGGAAAAATTCCAATTGAAGTCTTTCTTTATTTCGTTCGAAACTTAGTTTTGAATTAAAAAATAGTTATTTACTGAACTTCGATTCGATCGAATTTGACGTAGATTTCATCTGGAATTCTGAACAGGCTTAAAGAAATAGAATCCAAGCAGAGATTTGTGCTCTTTGTCATTCACAATCAGTACGAAAGAGTGATTAAGAATGTTGGTAAGTACCTTGCTCCCGAGATATATTCGGCTTGTACCAGATCCTGCTGGTGTCACGGACAAACTTCACGTTGGCATCGGCCACTTCTTGCGGCTCGGTGTTCGAGTGCACGCTGGACCGTCTCGAACCGTAATACTGGACCTGAGGAGATGACTGGCCACCGCTGTTTATAGATGTATACGACGTGGCGCTCTAAAAAAAAAAAGAAGAAAAAAAAACCAATCCAATAATACAATCGTCTCAGGGGCTACGATAGAGATAACAAACGAAATTAAAAAAAATAATAATTCGTAAATTCGTACTTTTCACGTACCTTGGGACTTTGGGCAAACTCAATGTGAGTCGGAGTACCAGGGCTGCGCGAGACAGCTTGCGACTGTTGCATCGTTGGCTCGTTTATCGGAGAAACAGATCGGTCCTTGCTACAAGGAAGCAATCACACGCATCGTTACAAAGTGCATTTCGAGCGAGAGGATCGTTTACTCCGCGTGCAGGCAGACGCGTGTATTTCCGTGGTTTCTTTGTGTGTACACATTTTGTGTGTTGTGTCAGGTGATTCGTGCAGGGTGGTGGTGAGAGAGCTATTGAAAATGTGGTACGCACATACAAGAACGAAGAAAAGATCGAGGGCCAGGAAGGAGGAGTATCGATAAAGGAAACACAGGCAGAGAGACAGAAAGAAAGAGACAGAAACACGATTGCACGAACGTGTTCGGTGACGATCTTCTTTTTTAGCCTACGAACAATTCACACACACGCGTCTATATACACGGATGACTGTCAAAGAAAAGAATTCTTATGACTGAGTAGATGATAGTGCGCGTGTTATTGTACATGTTAATTGGCGACATCGAATGTTTCCTCCTTCGTTTTTTTTTTTTTTTTTT